TTTGGGGCTCTGCCTTCCCCTCCCTCCCAGCTGTCTGCCAGTCAGACCAGACACCCTTTCCCAGGATTGCCAGAGGATAAGGAGATCATATGGTCGTAGATTTAGAGTTGTAAGGGACTTTAGAGACCATCCTGGCCAAACCTCACCTTTATAGAAAGAGGGGCCCCAGGGGGGCCTCCCACATGAAATCTCAGAGAGAGAATTCCAAACCATATGTTCTGGTGAGAGGAAGGAGAGAGTGAGAAAGACCCAAAGAGGATAAATTTCCCATCTGTGGGGACTTATGATCCATGGATGAGTATTCACAGAGTACCTTAAATTTAGGGAAGCCATCTTTGGTCTTCTTGAGTTAGGAGGTATCTCCAGGTGCTTCCAAGATAAATGGAATGACTCTGAAATAACTTTTGCAATGCTTTAAAGGATTACAAAGCCATTTCCTCAAAACAACCTTGAGGTACAAAAATTGTTATGCCCATTTTACAGATGAGGAAAGTGAGGCACAGAGAAGGGCAATAATTAGTCCCTGACCACCCAATTAGTAAGTGTACAAAGCGGGATTTCAACCCAGATCCCTCTGCTCCAAGTCCAATATTCTTGAGCTGAGTCTTGAAAGAGCAGGAAGAGAAAAGTTCCTCATGGTTTCACCCCAGGTCACACTCCCAAGAAGACAAAAGTTCTTCATGGTTTCACCCCAGGTCACACTCCCCTGATCTCAGGGACCCTTCCCCTGTATTCACTGTGCAGTCTGTATGTCCTTAGGCCCTGACTTCTCATTAGTCAGCTCTTGACTTTTGCTTCTGTCCGAGGTTCAAGAGTTCTCACTTGTGAAAGAAATTTTTGTGGAGGACCCCAGAAAAGGTGAGAGCCAGCCACACTTGGAGGCAAAGGCACATTTCTCCTCTCTTGGCCAAGATATAATGAATGATTATGGTAACTAGGGCAACAGGTATGAAAAGATGTTCTTAAATCAAATTCAGTAGAGTGTTGGGATGGAAATGGGGAGAGGAGAGCCGCTGGACCTTAGGCTAGGATACAGCCCTCTAGTGGTGATGGGGAGACAGACTTCAGAACATTAGAGACCACTGCCGGCACGAGAGCAGACATATTATTGCTATATCATTGTCTCTACCTGCTGAAGTACAAGGGCTTCTAGAAGTGTCCCCTAGACTTCTGCACCCCTGGGGCAAAGCCCCAATGGCCTGTCCTAGTTACAGTACTGCTTCCTGGCTTCTGGTCCCAAACACTGGAACCCTGCTGAATTGCCAAAGTCCATTCTGTCTCTCTTCTCCGTCCTCTCCTCTCCCCCTTCTGACATCTTCCCCCCTCTCTGTTCCAGCCTGCCTGGGAACGCTGCCCCATAAAAGCTATAAACTAGACTGAGTCATGTTTCCATTTTGTGAGCCCTGACTTCTGCCTTTGGAATTGGCGTGGAAGGACAGAGAGGAAGCGTCATACAAGGCTAGCCAGGAGCCCCTCTGGTCACGCTTTGTTCCCCTGGCTCAGCTCAGCGGATGTTTCTCTGGCTCTGGGTCCTCAGGCTGAATAGAGATGGCTTACCCTATTTTCTTGGGAAAATGAACAAAGTGAACACAATGGCCAAGCTGGGCCCTCTGTGGAACAGACAAAGGGGACCCTTAGCCTCTTGAAGGCAGGAGGGCTGGCCTGATGCCCCCCACCCCGGCTCAGTTGGCCCACTTTCCACCCAGAGTCTAGCTTTAGGCAGGCCAGCTTCCCTTCTTTCCTGGGCCCCAAGTCCCAACTCCTTCTTCCTTTGGGGATGTCAGGGATCATGGGATGGATCTTAGAGTCATCAAGTCCAACTTCTTTGTTTTATAAATGAGGAAACTGGCACCCAGAGAGGTTGAATCATCTGCATTGAATGACTGCTGGAGGTCACACAGTTAGATAATATCAGGGATGGGATTTGAACCCAGGTCCTTTGCAACCAGAGCCATATTCTGCCTACTGCTCTACAGGACACTATTGGTTCTCTTCATGTGTACATATCCTGGTTTTTCAACTGGACTGTAAGCCTCTTGAGGAGGGCAAGGTCCATGTGTCTTGCTCCAGCCCTCATAGCACTAAACATGGGGCTGGGCATGTGGCTGGTGGTTAGGACTCATTCTCCGGCCAAGCCTCCCCTCCTCCAGGAAGCCCTCCTAGCCTACTGAGCTCATTCATTCTTCTAAATGCTCTCAATTCCTAGGATCATAGACCTGGACCCCCAGAAGGGATCTTAGGGGGCTATCCAGTCCTGCTCTCACTCCAGCTCTCATTTTACACAGGAGGAGCTGAGCCCAGGAAGGGTCCAATCAGTCAGCCAAGGTCACACATATCTGGAGTGCACACTGGCCATGGAGTCATGAGGATGTGGGTTGAAATGTCCCCTTTGGATACTTCCTAACAATGTGATCCTGGCCAAGTGATTTCACCTCTCTGTTCCTCAGTTTCCTTATTTGTAAAATAAGGGCACCAGACACTATGGTTTCCAAGGTCCTTTCCAACTCAATTCAACTCAACTCAACTCAATCCAGTTTAATAAACATAAAGTGCCTATTACGTGTGAGACCCTGTCCTGGGCTCTGGAGAAGATACACAGCTGAAAAATGATGCAGTTAACCTCAAGGGGTGTATTATTTAATCAAAGGGATATAGCAAGCACAGAAGCATATACAAGGTAGGATGGGATAGGATTGACTTAAGGGAGGAGCTCTCATTTAAGTTGGCAGGAAGAGGGGAGCAGACATAGTCTGAGAAAGGTCCCGTGGAGGAGGTGACATCTGAGTTGGGCCTGGAAGGAAGAGGGCATCGGGAGAATCTAAGACCCTTTCATTTTACAGGTGAGGAAACTGAGGTTAAGGGAGGTGATAAGGTCACAAGGATAGCAAGGGGCAGGGACAAGATTTGAACCCAGGTCCTTGGACCTCAGAAGCAGGGCTCTTTCCCCATATCCAGATGATGGAGGGTCAATCAGACTCCTGATCTTCACTGTCCATCAAAGATCACTTGGGCCAAGTTCCTTGTTTGCCCCACAAGGAATGCTGGGAGATGTTGAGCTGCCCAGTCCCTGCCGGGTGACCTCCACTGCCCTGTGGTCATAGCTTTCGCTTTTCCTTGGTGTGAGCTCCCTGAGGGCACAATGTGCTCAGCCCCTGTGGGGGCTCACAGAATCCCAAATCCTCTTTCTCTCTCATCCCTAACAAGGGGTCCCAGTAGTGTTTGCCTGAAGACCTCCAGGGCAGAGGAACCCACCACCTCCTAGGCCAGCCCATTCCACTGCTGGACAGCTCCCATTGATGGTTAAGAAGTCTTTCTTGACCTTCAGCATTAATTGAAGTTGTAAAACCTTCCATCCATAGATCCTCTTGGGGCCAGCCAGAATGAGTTTCAATTCTAGGTGATCTCCCTTCAAACACTTGAAGATGGCTGTCATGTCTCCATCTCCCCCACCCCTGGCCTTCCAGTCTTCTCTTCTAAGGCCCAGCCCCAGCTTCCTTCAACCATTCCTATATCACCTAGCTTGAAGTCCCAAATGTCAAGATCACAGCAACTCTGGGAGGCAGGTGAATAGCTGGGGGTAATTATGACAGGGTGAGTCTGGGTAGCACCCTGTGCCATCTCTGGGGCTGGGCCCTCTCCTCACCCTCCTCTATCCCCAGACCCAGACCACTGCAGCTCCCCAGGCAGGTCCACAGATGTCAGATCCTAGGGAGCAACTCATCACATCATTTCTGGGGCCACTGGAACAGAATGTGTTTGCTTTAGCCAATAAAAGAGTTATAGGGATTTAGAACCTCCTGGAAACAGATGAGGGGGAGGTGCAGCAGAGAAGGGGGGCAAACCCAAGCTGGAACCCTGCTTCCCTCTCCAGCTTGCTTATCTGTGGTTAAAGGATTAGGTCTGATTTCAGGCGATCAAGAAATTCCACCTTCTCTAGGAAACCTCCTGGCCAGTCCAGCTCTCAGAGGTTAATGGGGGGGGGGGTCCCTCCATCCCTGGCAGGAGCACTCCCCCACAAATAGCTACCCCCACAGAGTTGGCACAGTGGCCCAGGTCTCTGTTTGAACCTGTGGGTTTTGTTTTGTTTTGTTTTTAATGCCAGGCTCAAGATAGAGTGCTAAATGAACTCAGTAAACATTTGCTGTTTGGTTTGATTAGATAAGAAGAGGCTGAGGCTGGAGGTGGCATTTCATTCATCCCAAAGAGGTAAGAAGAGTAAAACTCCAGGTTTTCTATACTCTGTAGATGGTGGTGGTAGTGGTGTGTATATGTGTGTGTGTGTGTGTGTGTGTGTGTGTGGTGTAAGGGGTGGAGGTGGGGTGGGGGTAGAAATGGAGACCCCAGAGGGAAAGTAGATGCCAGAAGTTTAAGCCACAGGTGGTAGAGCCAGGATCTGGGGGTGGGGGAAGGGGAAGGGGGGTGATGGAGGAACTGAGTTCTAATACCAACTCTGCAGTTGTAACCTTGAGCAAGTATCTTCACTACTCCAGGCCTCGGTTTCCCCACATGTAAAATGAGGAGGTTGGACTAGATGGCCTTGAAAGCCCCTTATTGCATTAGACCCATGATCTCAAGAGTCTAAGTGCCTTTGTGACCCGGAGCAAGGCCTCTTTCTGGGCCTCAGTTTCCTCATCTGTAAAGTGAGATGACCTCTGAGTTCCCTTCTAGGGATAATCTCTAGAACCATAGATTGAGACTGGAAGGGACCTTAGAGGACATCTCCTTCCTCAGAATGAAGAGAGGTGCAGTGACTGGTCTGAGGATTGGCTCTGGGCGCGCTGACCCCCAAGCTTGGCTCTGCCCGGCCCTGCCCCCAGGAGGTTTCCTGCCTCTCCAGGGTCAGGAGGGTGAAGGGGTCCTGGGGGCTCGGAGGTCTGAGCAAATGGGAAGCTGGGCCTGAGGTCAGGAGAGCCAGAGGGCGATCAGGACTGGGGCGGCGAGTGGGACAGGAAGGAGATGTCCTGGAGTGAGGCAGCTGCGCTCATGCTCCAGGAGAATCCTCAGCTTCTGCCAGCCTCAGGCGTGCTGTAGGTGTGGTGCGTATTGTATCTCCTCACTTGAACGCACTCCTCTGGCCTGGAGATCTCCTGGGTCCCACAAATGTCAAAGCTG